GGGAAATGAGCAACTGATATTATGGGCTAAAGTGGAAGGCAAATGTTTTGAGAATGATGAGGGCAACAAATGTACATATGTGCTTGACACAATGGATGTGTATATGGATTGTGATAAGAATTGTGCAAGCCCCCAATAAAATAATTTAAAACAAAAACAAAACAAAACCAACCAACCAAACATGAAAACAGTCACTTGAGATGAGTAAGCCAGCATCTCCCCAGTGTTAAAGTTCAGAGGTTTAGGGGGCGAAAGGAACAAAGGCAAGAAACACGGGGAGAAAGTGAAGTGTGTGAAGGTGCGCTGAGAGGATTGCAATGGATAAATTGAAGCAAAATATGTATGGATGGTTGAATGTAAAACTGATGGAATGCTCTGTAAACCTCAGCCTAATTAATAACCAGGTGGTGTTTTTTAAAAGACAGACATCAAGAAAAAGAATTTAAAGTAAAAACCAAAACTTGGTCACCCTTGGACACTGCAAAGTGAAACAGAGGGAAGAATCAACGTCAATTCTACCACTTGGAACTTGACTGACGCTTAGGGAATGTGGTGTCGCTGACGGAGAAGAGGGGAAATAGGGTTATGACCAGGTTTGTGAAGGAAGCTGATGTATCCTGCTTTGGAGAGAGAGTTTGAGAGTTTGGTGGAAAACTTCAGTGGATCTGGTCATCAAATTCTCAACTTCCAGTAAATGTTTGTCAATTGATTGCTTCATTTGCACTAAATTCTTCCTAAACTAGAAGAGCGTACTCATTTATCTTGAACTTTTTTCTTGATTTTGGACTGCATCTCAGAAGTTTCTAGTTTTTACAATGATAGACTTGCCCAAAAGGAAGAGACAGCTTCTATTGCCAGCTATCCAGAGAAAGAAATGGACAGGATGACTTATTCCAGCATGGGAGCCCTCACTGGCCTTTCCTGGACTATAAAACCCATGTCTCGGGTAGAGAGGCATCACTTTCTAGGTCACTCTTGTTTGAACATTTCATACCCTTCTGAAAATGAGAGTCAGATGACTATAACAAATTAAGATTTTAAAACACTAGTGAAAAAGAACTATTCAATTTTTAAAAATTCATCTTAACAAGTGATTCTCAAATTTTTGGGCAGGTTCAGGGGAGTTCCCTGCAGGATAGTGTATTCAATCACATTTTCCACATTATTTCTCCTCCCTCCCAGGTACTCAGGTATTGGGGAGGCTCAAAAGTCAGCACCAGTAGTCCCTACTCATGTTTAAACCATCCGAGGATTAACAGAAAAATCAGGTTGTGATTTGAAAATACATTTTTATGAGTCTTAATGTTGTTATCATCGGGTGTGGTTTATATCTACTGGCAAACGGTCTTCCTAGGAATGAATATCAAAATAGACATATTGTTCAATCCAGCCACAGGTATGAGTAGTTCACAAAAGAGGCCTGGTGGTTCTTTGGGTTAGGCAGTGGGCTTAGAACCATCAGTCAGTGGTTCCAACTCACCAGTTGTTCTGAGAAAGAAAGAAGAGGCTTCTGTAAAGATTTGCAGTCTTGGAATCTCTATGTAAGATCACAGGGAAGCAGTGGGTTTGGTTTTTGGGTTAGTGGTCTCACACCATCCCTAGGTAGCACAAATGATTTGTACTTAATTGCTAACTTAAGATTGTTGGTTTGAATCTATCCAGTGGTACTGCAGAAGGTAGACCGGGAGATTGGCCTCTGTTAAGATTGCAGTCAAGAAAAGCTTGTGGGGCACAGGGGGTTGCCATGAGTTGGGTTGGCTTGATGGCAACTACCAACAACAGTCTCCTCACAGACAAGTCTCTTTCTTTAGTCGATTGTATGAAATCACTCCCTCCAAGCAATTCACTCTCAAGAATAAAGGGCAGAGCAAAGTATGCCCCAAATTCTTTTCCCCTCAAGAGAAGAATGGGTGAGAGGGTGGAAAGGCCAGAATTATAATGCTGTTGCCTGACCCTTCACATGGAATACATGGTAGGAATAGAATCACTTTCATTAGACAGCAAATTCTGATTTCCTTTTTCAGGGAACCTATGACTGCCTTGGAGGACTACTGCCAATAGGTCCCAGACTCCCTAAGACAGTGGTTCTCAGCCTTCCTCATGCCGTGGCCCTTTCACACAGTTCCTCATGTTTTGGTGACCCCCCCAACCATAACATTATTTTCACTGCTACTTCAAACTGTAATTGTGCTACTGTTATGAATCGGGCATCCCCAGGTTGAGAACTGCTGCCCTAATAGGTGTGGAGTAAGAGTCATGGTGGGAAGGTGGAAAACGCCAGTGTTAATGAGTTCATTCTTGTGAATTTCTTATGAAGATTTGGAAGCTAATCTGTATGGCTTCTTGAACGCTGCGAGAAAGGAACTCGAGTTGAGTGCTTTGGGATTCAGGGCAGCCTATCATTACCCAGTGGCTGAACATGATACTCCCAATGTCCAACCTTGAATACTTTGCAATATAGTTGACATTTCTGTGGCAGCAGTATTATCAAAGACTTGTTTTACCCTGTTTGCTCTTTTTAAAATATATAATTAGTGTAACACTCTCCCAGGATAATCAGCTCTGGCGATCACTGTCATGTGCCTGACAGGTGTAAGCCACATAATCATGTGTTAGTTTCACTGTGGTAGACAGCTAATGAGCATAACGCTTTTCAGGATTTTTTTTTTTTGGCCAACTCCATGCTTGGTTGATTTTTATAATAATGTTCCTCTAAGCCTTTAGTCACTCAGAATGCTATTTCAATCAAGTCCTTTCCATCATTTGATCCCTGTACCTGCTTTGCCCTACAAAGAAGTAGATGCCTTTCCTAAAGGATCGTTTCTTGGAGCCAGGCTCATTGATGGAGGGAGTCTGTATGCCATCAAGTCTATGGAAGCTTTTGGGGTAGGAAAAGCACGGAGGCCAAATAAGTGGCATTACCCAGTCCAAAGAGGGATCTGACTGCCGCCGTGTGCAGAGCTGAGCTCTTCACGCTTAGCTGTAACAAGCCGTACAAGGTCAACTACGTGTGAGCAGCCACTTTTCTCTTGTCTGTCTGTGGTTTTGCTTCAACAAAGCAAGCAGATTCAAAGGGCACACTGTACATAAGTGACACTGGGAACACAAAACAGACACATGTACACCCATGTTGACTGCCGCAATGTTCACAGTAGCCAGAAGGTGGAAATAACTGAAATTCATCAACAGGTGAATCCCTAAACATGTGATATAGACGGAAAATGGAATATTCTTCAACCACGGGGAGAGGCATGCCACAACCCCTTGAACCTTGGAATTATTATATGGACTGAAGTTCACTGAGTTACTAAAGGACATACACAAATATGTAGAAAGCACCGATTATTAGTGACTATCAAGAGTGGGAGAGAGAAGAAAAGGGAGGGGGCAGTTTTGCTTGGGGGCACTGCGTTTGTGTTAACGGTGGTGGGATAATTAGAAAAACACTGGAATAAGGGGGCACAACATGAAGAGCATCACCAGTGTCTTGGGTTTTACACACACGTAAAAACTGTTGAATGGGCAAATGTTCACCATAATAACAACAACAAAAGTGTTCAAAATAACGCATCAGTTAGAAATATGTGATCAATTCCATTAGCGACTAGATGTTGTTTTTTAAATTATAAAATCAAATGCCTATTTTGTATTAATGCTTATTACAATTTATCATTATTAGACACCAAACCTTACATACAGTGTCATAAGAGGACACACTGTAAATACACGAATAAGAGTACCTGTTAAAATAAATCTTTACTTAGCTAGTAAAAATTTAACTGTGCTGTGAAAACCATTGCCAGAGCTGCTGAACACCAAGTGAACATAGGGGGGAAAAAGAAAATAAATTGTAATTTTTTTCTGAATCAATTGTTTACCTGAGTTTTTTGGTGATCTTCCTGACATAGTATAGCTCTGTTATCTGTCTTTCCCCCCCCAGGATTTAATACTAACTATCCTGCTTATTGTGCATTTGGGTCATACCTTTATATCATAGTGCTAATAATTGAGGATTCTGGCTTCATCATGTCCTTTTGTGATAGTTTCTATGCAATTCTGAAAAGTTTTCACATTTAATTTTACCTTTAAGTCAAGACATTTTTCCCCCTTTATCAGTAGACAGCTTGAAAGGTCAATGTCTTTACTTCCATTTTTATTTGGTTTTGAAGACTTGCCCTGACAGTCTTATAGCCTATCTTGAATAGGCTCGAAAATAATGGAGGGACAAAAGCCTTATAGAAACACAGGCATCCCTTTCTGGCCACTGACATGCTCCTCTCGGGTTACCAAACGTTGAGCTGTTTCAGGTGTCAGAACCATAAAAGAGGAACAGCTGCCCTCCTAGCCGGCTATAAATCTAGGCAACAACAAGGAGTTAATTTTGAAAGAAGAAGGTCTTTACTTGAGAAAGTATTCCCTCTTTGCCTAACCTGTTATTTTTGTTTGTAGTTAGCAACCATGTGTTGCTTTCTTAAATAAGTTTGCTTTCTTAAGTTGCTTTCTTAAATAAGTAGGACATTATTGATTGCATTCTTCACAATGATGTTCCATGAAGAATCTAGACTAATAACAAACCTCCATAAAATAAGCTGGCCCAGCTTTACCACGCTGAACTTAGAAACCACTCACTTTGATTGAAAGCCTCAGAAGGAATGGATTTTACCTTTTTGAGTCAAAACTGTGGCCCATTGTGCACATGGAGCTGTAAAAAACAAAACAAAACAAAAGCTACCATTGAGAAGTAAGTCATAAGTTATAATGGCATCCTCAGAATATGAACCAGAAACAAGCTAGATGCCATTCTCAGGTGGGAGTTGTCTCTGAGGAACTTCACCCTGGGGGAGTCACAAAAGCAAAAGGCATTTGTGGAATCTATTTGGTTTTGAAGCTTCTTTTCACCTACAGGAATATCTTCTCTCTGAAAACCCAGGGACACCTGAAAGTTCTACTCCCATCACACAAGCTGAAACACTTCCCAGCGCTTTCGGTGTGGTCAATTAAGATGGGTTGACTATTGGAAGCTTCATTGCAGGCTGTCAAACTGATGTTTATTTGCTTTTGTTCTGGGCCCTAGGTACATCGTGAAAGTTCTGTCCACTCTGTCTCATCCTCAAGAGTCCTTGCCAGCTCATCGTTTGCGGATATCTTGCTGCCAGACATGACAGTACGAGCTATAAACAAAGAACTTTGTTTCCAGTGGTACAGCCCTCCCCTGGAAGGACCCCCAAAGGAAGCGGAGCCCATGGTATGGTAATATAATTACAAATCCAAATATTCTGGTTAGCTATAAAGTTTTAGTAGGTCATTTTAACTTTCAGAGTAGTGTGTCCTCCTATCATCCAGGCAAAAACAATCCTGTCTAAGAGACTGACTTTGAGGTTAAAAAAAGAAAGAAAAGTTTGATTCAGGTTGATCATTTTCATTTAAAAAATATTTATCCCATAAACCAAAGTAAGAACTATTTTGGGCTATATTTATAGGCTTGGGAAAAACCGTGTAGTTTTGTACTTGATCTCCAAAGAACAAACCAGTTGCAAAAATATAGCACTAAAGGCAATGAAACGATATAACAATACTGTTTTTTAAGGCCTTTAAGTTCATAAATTATATAATACATAGAGCTTAAAAACACAAAATTAACCTTGGGTCATTTTATGAGACCTTTAGGGAGGGTGTGGTAGTCCGGGTAGACTAGAGAAACAAATCCATAGACACGCATATGTGTATGAAAAAGAGCTTTATATATAAGAGCAATTGAATATTGAGAAAACATCCCAGCCCAGTCCAGATCAAGTCCATAAGTCCAATATTAGCCCATATGGCCAATACTAGTCCATAAATTCCTCTGTAGACTCACACAGCCATGCAATAATGCTGAATGCAGGAAGATAACAGGCCTGTGGGTGGAAAGTCTTGTGGGTCCAGTGGCAGCAGAAGTAGTATCTTAGTGCTGGCAGGGGTCTCCACGTGGCTCCTACAGCTCCCAGGACTCTGGCAGCATCAGCATAGCTCCATGTGTCTTGGCTCAGAAATGTCTTGCAGGGAGTCAGCCTGCAACCTGCCTCCAGTGAGCTATTTATCTCCTTAGTGTCTCCAAATGAGGTCATCAAGCTGCGACCTGATTGACAGGTTAAACCCCACCTCTTCACTTTTAATCCTCTCAAACTGACAACAGATTGTATAACTACCACAGAAGAGATTTGGATATTACGGAAGAAATTCAAGCATCAGCTGGGATGAAACTCTCACTAGCTGACTTGAAAACGTCCTTCTACTACAAGCATCCTAAATCCTAGTATTTATTTTATTTAACTTTTGTAATGGTTGCTGCACAATTTCATTGGGAACAACTCTAGTATGATCTCAATGGGCACGGGTCTATATATTTCATTTTTGTTTTTCAAATGGGAAGGGTAAAATCATAAAGACTGAGTCAAATCTCTTCGAGTAAAGTGGAACAGTGTTTTGGTAGAATACGCGAGGAACGTTTTAAACTCTTTTTGGTAGAAAAAAGTGTATAGGAAGAACCCAGACTTCTGTCTGTAAAATACAGCTTAGTTCTACCTGTTTTTACTTTCTTGTGACTGCTCTTCCTCAATATTATGCTTGTGAGATTCTCCCAGGCAGCTGACTGAGTTGTAGATGAAGCTTGTTCATTTCAGTGTTGGCATTATATAATGAATCATGTGGCTTATCTACAAGGAATAGATATTTGTATTCTTTCCATTTTTTGCTTGTCCTCTCCTCTGGCTTGCCTTTCCCTTTCTTTGTTTGACACTTTCTGTTATCTTTAGTGGTTTAAAAGCACTTTTAAAATTTCACCACAGTATACCTTAATAGATACTTCAATAGCTGAAGTTCTACTGATAAGAGAATAAAATGTGTCTAACTAGCAAAATCACCATGTTTAGCAAATAAGGGGGGGAAAGAAAGATTTTCTGTGAAAATGGCTATCAATTGGTGTTACACCTATAACATATTTTCATGTTTATTGGCAAACATAGACATTTGTACTGTGGCTAATTGGAGGCAAGAGGCAGGTGGGTCAATATCCAGAAGCAGTTGAATATCAGTTGGAAAGTGAGCAGTTAGGAGAGTCTTGAAAACAGATCAAGCTTTTAAAAATAGACCCGTTGGTCAATATAGCTCTTTGCAGAGGAACCGTCCACTGTAGGGTTCCTTTGATAGCAGCTTTCTGTAAGAGCCTCGGGCTTTGTCCACAAATGTCTGCCATGTAGCCTTACCCTTCTCGGCATTTTTGTTTGCTGTGTGGCTTCTGCAGTGGGCGACTCATGCACTTCCCGTCTCTTGAGTGCTGTCCCCTCCAGCTGTGCCTCCAGTAGCTTCTGCTGCTCCTCCACTCCTGTGACCCTGCTTAATTCCTTGAACACGCCCGGCCTGCCTCTCTTTGTTCCTGAGCACTACTTCCAGAGGTGGCCCTTTCCTCCGTCTCAGGCTTGCAACCTGCTCCTGATGCCTGGTCATTTAAATGCCTCTTTCTAGTCGCCAAAAGAGGGGTATTTTAAAATATCACTTCCCAAAACCATTTAACGTTATTCCCCACGTGTTTTTACATACTTCTCTTTCTATGCTTTCCCAACCAAATTTTTGCTGTATTTTCCAAATCCATTTAAAAATACTAAATCTCTGGAGCATTGGGTCATCGTGAGTCAGAGTCCACATGGTGGCGGTGAGTTTTGAAAATTTAAGTGCAGTTGTTTCCAAAATGTGGCTCCCCCATGCCTACCTCCCAGCTGCTTAGGGATTATAGAATTAAAGTAATGAGTCATCAGCACATTTCACAGAGAGAAATAGAAGGAAAAGCTCAGAATCCATTTCATATAATAAGTGAAAATGTCTTCTGTGACTTGTTTCATGACATATGGTTAAAAAAATGTACTAGATAGAATAAATCACAGTGAAAAAAATAGAGAGAAGCACTCACTTGGAAGGATTAGACAGTCCCTGCCCTAGGGGGTCTATATTTTAGAAGAGAATTCTGAAATATGGTTGGTGATTTAAATATTCATATATTTGAGCACTTATTCCCTCCTCATTTAGGACTTCCTTGGGGTAGCGAGCTAAAGGAGGAGCACTGGTGGTGTAGTGGGTCATGTGTTGGGCTGCTAACACAAAGGTCAGCAGTTTGAAACTGCCCCAGGTATCCAGTGCGAGAGAGATGAGGATTTCCACTAGCTTTGAGAATTACAGCACCAGAAACCAATAGGGGCAGTTCTCCCTTGTCTTGTAGGGTTGTTATGAGTCAGAAGGGACTCAATGCCAGGTTTTTTTGTTTGTTTTTGAGCTAGCTAAAACTCCTTAAACATACTAGATAGCAATGCTTGTAAGCATGGACATAGAGCTTACTGTGTCCATACTTAGAAGTGTTCCAGGCATTTTGTTTATATTAATTTCATAGCAAGTTTATCAGCTAGGTACTCTCCTTAACCCTATTTTATAGAAGAAGAAACTATGAGACAGGATACAAGCCACCTGGCTCCAAGGTTGGCTCCCAGCCTGGTGCCACAAGGAGTCCTCAGAGAGTGTTTTTGGCTCTAGGGAGTTCTAGACTCTAGACGGGAAAGTGACGAAGTAGAATTAATATCTGACTTAGGAATTTAAACTTTTCAGGGATTAAGGGATACTGGGATAGCAGGCAGGACCACTGCCCTCAATCCACGTGCGTGACCCACCTCAGCTTGCTCATTACACTGAAAGAGAGATGCTTGGAATGAACCCGGTGGACTGGCGGCTGCAAAATAGAAATACAAACACTGGGGATTTTGATAAAAAAATATTTAGTCAAATTGTAGGGCAAATATCTCTGTGCTGTGTCTTCCTGGAGTTAAATTTCTTCTTTCTTTCCGTTTAATTTCTTAAGGTATTGTACTTTTTTGGTTAAAATTATCACTTGCAGAATTACCTTTAAAAATATTCATCAGATCCTGGTTACAAATTTGACATCTTTTGGCAATTTCAGCATCTCCTAGGCATATAAACCAAAGAGGCTCTCAGGATCTGTCATTTTAATGGGCCTTCCATACAGTAGGTTTTAAAATAGCTGCAAAGAACAACTGTTTTAAGTCAAAGAAACCTAAAACCATAGCTTAGCCTTAAAAAGACATAACCATGGCTGAAGGTTTGAGGGCCCAAATTTGTCTCGAGATTACACATGTGGACCTTTGTCTTTCTCCTGCTTTATCCCCCTGCCATCTTTAGCACCTAGCTGCCTAGGAGAATGCTCCGGTCACAGGTCAACCATTTGAGTTTCTGAATAAGATTTCCGTGTAGCACAAGGAGACTCACAGAAAGGAACTCAGAAAAATGAGGGAAGAGAATCAGTAAAGAAACAGTAGATGTTCCCTTCTCTGTCTTTTGATCTAGCTTCCCAAATAGCCAGGAGCTTCAAATCAAATGGACGTGTGTGAATCCTCATTCTGCCACTCACCAACTGGGTGACCTTTGACGAGTCATTTTCTCTCTCCCCAACCTTAGTCTCCCCACCTGGAAGCAGGATTATTATTAGTCATGATAGCTCTGTGATGGAAACCACAAGAGGACACCCTCCACGCAGCAGATATGCCCCCATCCCCTTCCCTGGTTTTCCCTTAGAACCACGGTCACTTGGAGTAAACAACGTGATCTCCCAGCACCTCTATGTTCGGGCGAGGGAAGGATCTGCAGAAGCGTTCTGTGAAACTGTTTGAAAGGACTTTGAAGGAGAAGATGGCATTTTTTCTTCCTGCTTCCTGCTGACCAGAATGTGGCCATGATGCTGGAGTCCAAGTAGCTATTTGAGACGAGGAGGAGAAGGCCACATGCTGAGAATGGTGATCCAGCAACAGAAGGAAGAAGCAGGAGGCAAAGATGCCTGCCCTGGGCTTACAGCTTGCTTAAAGTGAGGGTGGGATGCGGTTCTTTTGTCCTTAAACAGAAGGGAAGGAAAGAAAGAAAGGAAAAGATGGGAAGGAAGAGAGAGTCCGTAGCTGGCTCTTCCTTTCAGCATGGGAGGCCTGATTTGGAGGGAATCCGAACTGCAACAAAAGCCTCCAAGGAGCTGAGTGCAGCTAGACAGCCCGAGCTCCCAACCAGCAAGCTATCCTAACAGTATCCCGGAGGAAGAAAAGTTTACGCTCCTGGGAAAACAACCAAGTCATAATGCAACAGGACCCAGTGCCATAGGCCTGGTCTACGTGGATATCAGGAGTGATCTAACTCAGAAGCCTGCAGGTGTCTGCACCTCTG